GCCAGATGCACAGGAGGGTGAGAGGATTCACCAGAGCCAGAGCAGGGAACAGAACAGGCAGACTGACGAAATATACTGCTGAGGGGAGCAGCGGGCGTGACAGGAGAGGTCTGCGGCGCCAGGTGGGATACTCGCTGGCAGGCCAGGATTGAACCTGCACTGTAGAGGCTGCGGACAGCCTCACAGTGCAGCGCTCAACCGCCTGCGCCACCAGGGAGGCCCAAGAATACCTTTTTCTAGTTTGTTCTAAGGTGTAGTGTGGGCAGCCCCACTTCCCTGTCCCACGCACACTCTTTATTCTCTTTTGTGTCATTTTCCAGCCTCAGTCAAGGCAGGGCTTGAGGGCAGCATTTACTTGCAATGCCCGGGGATGGGGCTGGGGGGGCTGGGACGGGCAGCAGCTGCCTCATCTGTAAGGCTTCTGCCTCCAAGCCCCCTGGTGCTTTTCCTCTCCTTATCGATGCGGCAAGTTGCCTCTCCAAATTGCTCTGCCGTCATTAACACCAAGGATTAGGTCAGATGAGAGCGTGTTTGCAGTCTTGGATGGCAAAGGCAAAACGCTGATGCTGATTATTCCAGATCTGGGCACGGCCCATTCCGTGCTCACAGTTCTTAATCAGAGGGACAAGTGTTGGTTATGTGGCGGGTGGGCCAGGGTTACGGTCGCGTCTCATCTGGCTGCCAGGCCCAGAGAGCGTGTTTGCAGCCCTGCTGGCCCGCTGCCTGTTGTCTGAACATCACAGGTGCCCTTAGTTACTCGGCACTATTATATCCTTCAAAGGAGAAATGACCCATCCGGTGGCACTGTCCAAGGACTGCTTTTGAACTATCAGCAATTCATCTGAGCAACGACTGTGAGCCTTCTGCCCTGGGCCTGATCAGCACGTTTTGTGTTCTGGGGCTCACTGGTTGGTCATGCCACTGAGGGGTGTCTTCAGTCATTCCCTCCTTCAGTGACCCCTTCTAAAAAGCCTCTGTGCCTGGAAGAGGCCTAGGCCTGTGACCTGCCATCATGCCGCACTCTCACCTCCTAGCCTCATTTTCTACCTCTACCACCTTCACCCTGTGCTCCAGCCACACTAGGGTCCCCAAATGCAGCTCTCTGGTCCTTTATCATGCCGGCCCCTGGTCAGAGTGCCTGCTCTGCCTTCTCCTTCAGGCGGATGGTCATCCTCTGTAGCCACTTCCTGTCCATGCCCTCACCATCACCTTTACCACCTTAGCACACTTAGGTGCCACACCCAATGGCCAGCACTTGCATTTATTTGCTTCAAGCCTTTTCTGGCTTCTGGAACCTAACTTGCCTCTTTGTGCTAGTTGGGCCAGAAGGGCGAGGGAGTTAACACCCTCCAGAAGCAGCCCCCAGCTGCTGAGCCAATGGACAGGCCAAGATGGCATATCCACATCTCTGCTCCCTCACCCCTCTAGCAGGCCAAGTTTGAGGAGCCCTCGGCACAGTCTCCCAGAGCTTCTCAGCAGGAACCAGCCCTACATCCACATGAGCCTTCACTGAATAAGCCCACTGTGATCACTGGCTTGAGAAACCACCCTCAGTGGCTGCCTTCCCTCTGTCACCTTCACAATCCCCACACAGTGTTCCCTTAACCTCCATGTAAACTTCACATTACAATTTTTCTCAGTGTTCTGAAACTAAACAGATCTCTTCAATGTCCACCTCAGTACCATCTCCTTTTTGCAGTTTCCCTGGACCACCCTTCTCCCACTCCCCAGCAGAACCATTGGCCTTTCTTCTCTGCTCCCAGGGCCCTTATACCTGTCCCAGCAGCATTCCCTGTGCTGCACTGTGGCTGATCTCTCTACATGTCCATGGCCCCACAAACCTGGGAACTCTTTGCGGACAGATACTATGTCCCTTTATTTTCTTTTATTCTCCAAGTCTAGGGCAGCACCTGGCACAGAGAAGGAACCCAATACAAATACAATTTCTTTCTTTCTTTCTTTCTTTCTTTCTTTCTTTCTTTCTTTCTTTCTTTCTTTCTTTCTTTCTTTCTTTCTTTCTTTCTTTCTTTCTTTCTTTCTTTCTTTCTTTCTCTCTCTCTCTCTCTCTCTCTCTCTCTCTCTCTCTCTCTCTCTCTCTCTCTCTTTCTTTGCTGGCAGTGGAAATGCAATGAGTAAGAGGGAATGAAGACAAACTGACAAATTCAGGACCTTTCTATGTGTGTTTTTTTTTTAATATTTATTTATGCATACAAGAGCTGGGGTACAAGCCAGAGGTGCAGGGGGTGAGAGGATTCACCAGAGACAGAGTGGGGAGCAGAACAGGCAGATTGACAGAAATACACTGCTGAGGGGAGCAGCTGGCAAGGCAGGAGAGGTCTGTTGCACCATGTGGGTCACCTCCAGAGGCTGCGGTTTGCTTAATAGTACTGTGCTTAACCCCTTGCGCCACCAGGGAAGCCCCAGGATCTTTCTAGAAAGAGACCCAGGGACTACTACTCCAGGTGCTGTCACCTTACCAGGTTACATTGTAAAATTTCAATCCACTCAACTACTCAGCTACCTGCAATAGTTCTCTACTCTTGCCCTCCCCAACAAGGCCTAATTTCATGCATGCTTATTAAAACCCTCCATCATCTGGCCCCATCCTAAGAGCAGAAATGCCTCTTATTCAGTTCGTTTTTGGACTCAGTGACCTGGGTTCAAATTCTTACTCTGCCAGTTCCCAGCTGAGTGCTTATGGGCAAGTTACTTATCCTCTCTGGTCACTAGCATGCTTATTTATTAAATATGGATAATAATACCCATAATTACTTTGAGAATTTAAAGTCCTTGTGAATAATACTAAAAACCACTTTAAAATAGTGTATTTCATGGTATGTGAATAATCTTTAAAAAAAAAAAAAAAGCATAGTATTTGACCCTGGGGAAGTTTTTTGAAAACAGAATGATGGTTATCATTGGTATCAACAGTTTCCTAAGTAGCCCTAGCGCCAGCCAGACAGCAGGTACTCAGAAAACTGAAAGAATGGATAACATTTCACAAGAACATCTGGAGCATGATGAACAAAGGGGGGAGAGGGAGAGAGGATGGGGTAAGCATAGAGATTTTAAGTTGAGTTTTGTATCCCGCAAGAAAAGAGCTCCCAGTTATTCTCGGTGAAGAGAGGACCTCAAGCCCAACGCCCGTGAGCGGGGCCTCCCCTCTCATCCGTGTCCCACCGCCATGGGAAACCTAGTGCCTCTGCCCTTTGCCTCGGCCCCAGGTATCTGGGCTCCAGCCAAGGATAAACGGAAAACAAGTCTCAGGCCCAGGAATGTGTTCTTATATTTATCTTGACTCCGGGTATGTGTGATGTTCTGGGAATTGACTTCAATCAGAATCTCTACGCACGCGTTAAAGCCCGGCGGCCAAAGGCAAGACAGAGAGGCGTGGCTTTTCCCGGCCCAGCCTTGGGCTTTTAACCTCCCCCACCTCTCCTCCCAGCGAGGCAGCGGGCGGGGGTCGCAAAAGAGGAGGCTCCCCCTCAACAAAGCTTAGTCTGGGGCTGAGGAGAGGGCACGGGGAATTTTCTGGAGACGTGTCTATGCGCGCAGTCCTGGGGAGAAGCCACAGAGCTGTAACCCCAAGCCCGTAAGGGGAGACCGGGACAAGGTGGAACCCAAGACAGGCCTTGCTGGGAGTGGGACCGCGGGAGAGGAGCCTCAGTTCTCCCCTTGCATGCAGGACAGAGCCTAGAGCCCCGCACACAGCAGGCGCCTACTTGGTGCTGGTTGCAGAGACGCCCTGCGGAGCTCAGCGCGCCCTCTCCCTGGCGGCAGAAGCTTCTAGACACGGGGACTGGCTCAGCCTGGTGGTCACGACGGGCCGGGGGTGGGGAGGGCGCTGGCACGTGTTTTAGGTGGCTGACTCGGCGGGAGCCAGAGGCGGGATGGCGAAGCAGCCGTGCGCCGACTCTTCCAAGGCTGACGGCCCTCCCTGGGAAACTGAGGCGGCCCCTCGGGGCAGCGGAGTCGCCCCCGCACGCGCCCGCCACCTGGAGAGGTGGAACACGTTTCTGGACTGAGGCCCGCCCCTTTTCCCCAGAGGGCGCAGACCCTCAGCAGAGATCCTGCTCCAAGCCTCCAGGGGTGGGGTGATGTCTTTTGCACACCCCCTCTCCGCTCTCGCCCGCAGAGACCCTTCCCAAGCAGACGCCCCTTGGTTCACACAACCTTCCCTCTCCTCTCATTTGGAACCCCCTTAGGAGGCTGGGAATGGGGGGCGGGGAGGGCGCAGATGGAGACGCACACTGCCCGGACCATCTCCGGCCGTCACCCCCTCCCCAGCCCCCAGCCGCCGGAGCCGCGTCCCCACGCCCGGCACGCGCGCACACACGCACACTCAGCCGGGCACACCGCACACTCCCACCCGAGCGCAGACCCCGCCCGCGGCCCCGCCCCGGCCCCTGCGGGCGCCCCCTCCGGCGCTCGCAACCAGCGCACAGCCCGCCCCGGGTGGCGCGAGGCGGGAGGCGGCGGCTTCGGGTAGATTTGATTTTCCCGCAGCCGGGGCGCCCCGGAGCCAGAGCCTGAGCCGAGGAGGTGGCGCTCGCAGCCGCGTCTCCAGCCCCGCCGCCGCCCGCGCCGAGATCCAGCGAGAGACGGCGCAGCCCCTGCGTTCCCGGCTCCCGGCTCAGCGCTGCCCGCGCCCGGCCACCCCCGCCGCCCGCGCCCCAGCAGCCCCCCGGCCCCCGACGCCCCTCTCCCGCACTCGCGCCTCCTCTTCCCCCGTCCCCACGCCCCTCTCTCTGCGCCCCTCTTTAAGACTCCGCGCGTCCCTCCCGGTGCCCACTCCCCGCGCCCCTCCGCCTTTGCCCTGCGCCCCAGCTCCCTGGGAACCTGGCCCCCTCTCCGTTGGGTCCCCAACCTCCTCTTCGCGTCACCCGCGCCCCCTCCTCTACCCGCGGCCCCCGCTCCCTCCACCTCCCTTCCCTCTCACTTCCCACGCCCCCTCTTCGCTCTCCTCTCTCCTCCCTGGCCGCCCAGCCCCGTCTCTGGAGTTGGGGGAGAGCCCAGGGTTTCAGTTGCTCCTGTGGAGGCGTGAATCTCCCAGGGATTGACTAATTTGGGGTGGGGGGCGCGGTGGGTGATGGAGCAGCCTGAGGACATGGCGTCGCTGAGCGAGTTCGACTCCTTGGCGGGCAGCATCCCGGCCACCAAAGTGGAGATCACCGTGTCCTGCAGGTGAGCCACCCGCCGGCCGGGTCCCCTGCCCCGCCCCTGGCCCCGGAGCCCGCGGCCCCTGCTGCCGGGACCCCAGCCTGCGCGCGTCACGCTCTGGAGTGTCTCGCCTCCTGGACACCCCCCACCCCAGTCCTGCAAGAGCCCCTGCCCGGCGGCGGGTGGCTGCCGCTGAATGGGAAGCCGGGCTTGGGGTCGCATCCCGAAAGTTCGCCCTCGGGGCTGTTGCTGTGAGGGGGTATGAAGACCCAGGGGCTGGGGCCGAGGCTCCCCGCGCTGAGAGGGAGGTAGTGAATGATTGCTCCGGGGTCTTCGCCGGGTTCCGACTAACCCCTCCCCAAGTAGAGGAGTGATTTGCTCCTTCCCTCCTAGGCTTGTCCAGCTTCTGTCTTCCCTGCCTTCCTTTGCTCCCCTCTTCTTCGTCCTTTGGCCCACACCCTCATCCTCTCCCCAGCCCCCACCCCACCCCAACTGCTCTAGACCCCAGGATTCTAAAGCCTTTCTTCACCTACAACCACAAAAAAAGACTGGAAAAAGGCTCAGATCCTCTCATTCATACTGAGGTGTGGGCAACTGAAAACAACTTAAAGCGGCACCATTTAAAAAAACAAACCAATAACATGGGTCCAAAATCTTAAGCCCAAGGACTAAAACACTGTGGACTTTCAGAATCCAGCAGGGGAAGGGGAGGAATGTATTGAGGGCGACCATCCCTGAACCCTCAGTCATGTTACACTGGCTTCGGGGGTAACTTCTCTATCTAAGAGCTGCATCTTCCCACCTTCTCCTGTCAGAGGGGAAGGCTGCCCCAGGTATGAGAGGTACAGGTGGAGAGGAGGGATTTTTCCCTAGAACATCACCCTGCAGCTGGCCTAGGGCCACTGCCTTGCTGGGACTATTCCCCTTAAGCATAGCCCACCTTGGGGCTCCCCTAGAGATGCCATTCCCCCTCCCCCAGTGACCACCAGCATTCCTTGGGTCCTACCTGTCCCCTAGTTCCAAATCTCCCACCCCATCTTCCAGGTCACTCTTTGGTCAGACCCTTCCTCCACACTCATGCCCCTCGCCCCACCCTGCATTCATTGGAGATGTGGTAGAGCCAGATATCTAGCCTGGGGCTTGAGAGAGGGAGGGGTTCAGGGGGACTTGGGATGCGTGGGAGTAAGGACTGATGAGGTCCGACACAGCTGAGCCAGGCCCTCCTGGAGAACTCCCACGTCTCTCCCATGCTCCCCCCCACACAATGCTGTCAGAACCATCTCCCAGAACCGTTTGCATCTCGCCATTACTCTGCTGGGAGATTCCTGATGGACCATTAGCTCCAGTCTCACCTCCCCAGCCATCAGCAGCTGCCACAGCCTGCCCTCTTCTGCAGGCAGAGGAGCAACATCCCTCTCAGCCTTCAGTCATGCCTCTGCCAGAGCTGTCTCCCCATCCTTCTCACCTCGGAGCCTCAGAATGGCCCATTCCCCATCTAGATTTTAGTCCTTCTTCTCTGCCAGTTCACAGCCCTCCATCCTGAAAAGCCTGGCCATATGTTCCCCACGACCAGCCCTGCTTCTTCTCCATGAGACACCCAGCCAGGTGCTGTGTCTGTGTCCCTGGGTGCTCAACCTGGGCCACGGGGTCACTCACATACTGAGGATTCAACCCCCTAAGTCATGTAAATTGTGCAGACTTCATCCCTCCTCTCTTGCATTTGAAGGCAGGCAGCAGAGAGCACATGACATTGTGGCTTAGAGACTCTTTGAAATGGATCTCTGTGCTACCACTTGGGGCAAACTTTTAGCCTTGGTTACCCCCGCTTGTCAAGTACGAAAATGAACACAGATTCGGCAAAAAACCTTCACTGAGGTAGCTCCCGAGAGAGGCTGGCACATCGCAGGTATTCGCTGGAACAAGATCCTGAAACACCCAGCCCTATACTTTGCTCAAGGAGGGGCTGGTGTGGTCGCTGTAAGTCAGTAGCCCCTCCTGCTGGCTCTCCCAAAGTGGGGTATGCAAAGGACACAGACTTCTCCCCCTCAGAGGTACCCAGGGGGTGTGTCTGGGTTGCCCCGGGTTTTTTGTTCCCTTTCAGGGGCGTGATCCATCAGCCTGAGGAGGGGCAGACCTGGGCCGGGCTCCTGCTCTGCAGAAAACTAGATGGCAGAGATGTGGGGTTTTTTTTCTTTGTTTTTGTTTTATTTATTTATTTATTTGTTTATTTGTTTGTTTACTTATTTATTTATTCAAGCACTGGGTACAGTCAGAAGCATGAGAGGGTGAGAGAATTCACCAGAGCCAGAGCGGGGAACAGAACAGGCAGACTGACGAAATACACTGCTGAGGGGAGCAGTGGGCGCCGCAGGAGAGGTCTGTCGCGCCATGTGGGACCCTTGCCTGTAGTCGGGGATCAAAGGGTGCTGCAGAGGCTGTGGGCAACTTTGCAGGGAGGCCCTAGAGATGTGGGTTTTGGAAGGGGCGAGCAGGGAGGTGTTAGCCTAGAACCAGGAGAGGCAAGAAAACAATCGGGGTAGGCTTGAAATGGTAAATTCAGGGTGGCAATACCGATGGGGGTATCCCAATATGACCTCAATTAAAAATAAAGAAATAAAAAATATGTTTTAAAAGAAACTCGAAATCTACCTCTTTGTCTCCACCATGTCCCACTATCCAAGTTCTAGAATAGGGAGAGAAAGAAAAGGACTGGAGGGAAGGAGCGGGGGAAGAGGGAATACAACACATGGGATATTCTTCAGCATACTCTTCATTCATGGTCACCTGTTAATGATCCTCCCCTACACCCCATGGTCAACACCGACCAGGCCCCAGGAGAGGAGGTGTGGGATGTTCCTGTGTCTTGAGCATCTAAGCAACACTTGCTGGTGGGCAGGGAACCGTAGGTCAAACAGGGGTGGTGAGGTGAGAAGTCCAGGGGCCTAAGTTTCAGGGAAACTAACATTCCTGTGTTCAGTTCCCTTGCCTCTCTGTTCCTTAGGAAGGTCCCTGCCAGTCCCTGCAGCCCTGCAGCCCAAGAGGCTCTGTTGTTGCCTAGAGGAGGACACAGTACCCTGTGCCTATCGGAGGGCACTCCTAGCTGAGCAAAGCTGCCCACTATGGGGTACATCTGAGCCTCAGCCCAGGACCATGGCAGTGGTCAGCCAAGCCTCTGCTGGAGGCAACTGACATTGTGAGGTGGACATGTTTGTGCCCCTTTTTAGGTGGGCTATCTCTTGGTCTCATCTGTAGTCTACCCCTGAATAATTATTTTTACTAACTTAGGCAAGACTCAGGACCAAAGATCATAAAGCTTCTGATCTTTTTGCACAGTGGCTAAGAACATGAGCTTCGGCATCTGTCTACTTAGGTTCAAACCCCAACAGTCTCTGTTTAAGCTGTGGCTCAGTTTCCCCATCTGTAAAGAAGCATAGCAAATCCTTACCGTAGTTAGAGGGACTAAATGGACTGATCCATGATATCCTGTTATTTGATATCTGATAGTAAATAAAGATCTATCTTTACTTGTGCCCAGGGTTTTGTAGGTCCTGGAGGCATCTAGAGATTCTTACCATCTCCCTCCCCCAGCTTTACTGAGATACAATCGATATATAAAATTGTGTATATTAAGAGATTTGTAGGGGTTGCTTTGGGAGTAAGGGCACATAGTTTGTGGAACCAGATACCAGTAGACAATGTGAACCCAGAACTGCCCCTTCTGATGGTCTGTTCCAGACCTTTCCGGACTTTGTTGGCTCCTTGCAGACCCAATGGAAACTCCCTGTCCAGTATTCCATTCTCCAAGGGTCCTGTTTATCTTCAGGTTTTTATACCTGTGTGTCTTGGTTGAAAAGAGTGATTTGCATTTTTTATATAACAGGAAATATTTGCACTTCTGAAGGGTCCTGCAGGAAGAAACAATGCACGGTTCCATATGGTGGGGTTCCTGAGACCCAGAGGGAAGGTGAGGGGAGAGAGTCCAGAGGCAGGTGGTTGCTAAACCCTGCAGGAATCTCTCAGGCAGCCCCCCTCTCCCCACCAGCTGGCCTGGAGCTGGTGGGCAGCTGTTGCCTCTGCCCCAGAGATACTGCTTTCTGCTGTCTGTTCAGGTTGTGTTCCTGCTGCCTTGGGATCCAGCCAAGCTCAGGAGCAGTGCCCTGGCCTCCCAGAAGAGGTGTGAATGAGCTCTGAATGCTTTCTTCTGACAGGCAGGGGAGGGTGACTTTGGGGAAGGAGGGGCCTGAAACAGAGTGGCAGCTGTCAAAGCCAGAGCTAGGAAAAAGAGGTCCATTTGGCCTTTAAATGTGCCAAGGCACTCACTTATTGGAGCCAGGGGGATAATAACAGTGAGATTTTTATTCACTGCTTACTATGTGCTAGGTACTTGACATCTATATTAGACTGAACCACCTCCAATTGTCCATACGCAACTGTGTTTACCCTACTCAAATAGTCATTTGGTTCAAACTAAGATTATTATATTAGTTTTTGAATGCTGTGTAACAAGTTAAACCTAGTGGCTTAAAACAGCAGCCGTTTATTATTTCACCATTTCTGTGAGAAGCCCAAGCTCAGTGCAGGATTTGGGGGTACACAATTTAGCTTCTTTGCTCAAGGTTTCCCCAGGCTGAAACTGAAGTGTGTGCAAGACATGTGAGATCATCTGAGACCTGGGGCCCAAGCCAGGCTCATTTAAATTGGTGGCAGAATTTAGTTCCTTCCGGCTGTAAGATTAAAGTCCAGTTTTCTAGCTGGTTCTTGGAGGGAGGTGCTTTCAGCTCCCAGAGGCTGCCCTCAGGTTCTAACTACGTGGGCTTCTCACAACATGGCAGTTACTTCTTCATATCTGTCAGGAGACTCTCCCACAGTCTTCTAAGACAAAGTCTTACAGAAAGTTAATGTGATCCCAAGAGTGAATATCCCATCATATTCCCAGGTTCCACCCACAGTCAAGGAGAGGGGATTATGGGGCCTCCCTGGTGGCCTAGGGGTTAAGTCTCACCGCTATCACCACTGCAGCCTAA